ATTCTATTCTATTCTATTCTATTCTATTCTATTCTATTCTATTCTATTTCTATTCTATTCTCTTCTGAATGATAAGTGTGTGTGTGTGAAAGTCTTGTAATAGTCTCAACATACAGTTCACATATTTTCAAACGGAAGATGTAAGTATAACATTTGGACATTTGGTCTCAATTAAAAACAGGGAAAATCTGACCTCAAGGAAAATTACTGAAAATATCTGTTTGACTGTCCCTTTTATTCTTGGAGGGAAGTAAGTGGCATACTGTATAAATGTACTGTAACAAAGAAACAATACAAAAACACTAAACCATGCAGATTAATTGGATTTCCATGTCTCATATCTAGAGAAATAAAGCGTTCATATTTAAAATCTAAAAAGAAAATTGTGATCACAAAATCCATGCATCTTTACTTTAATTATACTTTTGTCTGAATGCTTCTAAACTGTACAAAATAGAAAAATAAAATAGAAAAGAATAAAAATATTCAAAGCCACACTCTGAAATTAACCTGTGCTTAAGTCTCAGCAGATTCATAAATGTTTTGAATATCCTTGAAAACATTTCTAATATAATCAACTCTCTCACCTGCAAAATAAAACGCTGCTTATATGCATGCTCTCGATCCATGATGGGAGAATGAGTGTTGACATGCATATTGAATACGCTAATTCTTTTTTTCAACTCCTCATACAACTCAGCCACCTAAAAATTGTAAAACTGTTTTAAAGTACATGAGAACCTAAAAAGTAAAGACGCATCTAAAGATAAAACACTTGTACAAAATAAATTCTCATATATTTATGTCCTAGACCTTTGCCGATAATCTACCTAATAGTACCTAAGCACCAGACTGAATTTATCAAAAAGCAGCCATCTCATATTCTAATGCAGTGATGATCAACCTACCACATGCGTGTCAAAAGTAACACACCATGAAGTTTTGGGTGACATGCCAGTGTTTACCTTCACTCAATAACTATTCTCGAAAGCATGCCCCTTTCTTGCACAGATTTTGGAAGACAATGGGGTATGCTCTTGCGAGAAAGTCTGGACTCTCCAGAAGTCACAAAAGTGGTGCATGTTCTCACATAGCCTCTGAAAATTGCATGACAATAGGGCAGGCTTTCATGAAGTTTTCAGAGGCCATGGAAGAGCATTTTCCAAATCTGGTCCAAGAGAAAAGGCCTCATACAACCCAGAGCAACCTCAGATATGTTGCAGGAGTCCGTCAACAGAAACAGAACACTGCCTGAGGGTAAACAATGAGTGACAGATCCTGGAGAGGACTGGGCCACAGGAACATTCATACTTTGGGGGATGGTGCAAGGCAGCCCTTTAGAGTGGCAACAGTGATGTTAGGCCTGAAATCAAGGCCTGGTCTTCCACTTCAGGCCTAGTCTCTATTCAGGGTAGCCTAGACCCGTGTGTGTGTGTGTGTGTGTGTGTGTGTGTGTGTGTGTGTGTGTGTTAAATAGAGAGTTATCTTTTGTTTGATGGGGGGGAGGGAACGTGGCATGCTAACAGATTCAACTTAGGCATTTTCCAAATTTTTGACACACTGAGCCCAAAAGGTTTCTTCATCACTATTCTACTGCCTCCCAGATGTGTTATGTTAGTAATTTCCAAAATTTCTAGCCAACATGGTGGCTAGGAACTCTGAGAATTCTTTCAAGAAGATCCTCAATTCTCAATGTGAATATGATTTGAAAGTTGGCTGTTGAATGCAGTATGATTTTTGTGTGACAGAAATAAGGCAAAGCACTTACGGAAATTAACTGACTGCTAAGAGAAAAGTTCAACACTGAAGAGGAATAAATGATGTCCCCTATGCTATTTCATGCACTTTAGTTTAAAATAGTACAAAAATACTGGCTAGTGTATTGATTGAGGACATGAATAAGGGTACTTTTGTCTGTATCTCATGTGCGTTGTTAATTAAGATCATGAATGCATTGCAATGATGTAGCTGAATGATTCAGAAAGGGACTTAGATTTAAACATTCAGTAATGATCTGAATGATCTACGTTTGATCTGAACAATGGAGTTGAAAATACATGGGAAAAAACTAGAGTCAGTAATTGAATTTGTGCATTTGGCAGAATGTTTACCAAAGATACAGGATGGCGGAGTCATTTTAATACATATAAAAGATGGCACAAACAGAGTAGGTAGCATGCGGCATGCTGTAAGAATTGTCAAAAGAAGCAAAAATATCTGCTTACAACAACATGCTTCTGCCCACTTTGTGATACAGAAATAATAAGACTATGAAAAGAAATAGAAAGTAAGTTGAAATGACTTGTAAACTGTTAGCCACCTCCATTATTAGAACAGAAAGGGGAGATCAGGGGAACAAGAAACAGGAAATGTAGTAGATTAGAATATTACTCTACATTTTCTCTTTCAATCTGCTACCATTACAGAACTATACTAAATGCTACAGTAACTTTAGTGACAGAGGGTGCCTCAAAAATACCCATAAGCAGTCTAATTGCTTATAGCAGGAATAAGCAGTTTTGTTAAGCAGTGCCATGTGATTTCAGGCAACAAATTGCGATTTTCCCTTTCCACTCCACTTTAATAGAATTTAACTGAGATAGTATAGGACTGTCTGATACGAATGTATTTTATTTCTCTTGGGAGTGAATAAGTCTACTGTTTCTCAGGAGATATTCTCAGAAACTAAAGGCAATAGGAAAGTAACTTTGCTTGGAAAGGAACATGGGTTCAAATTTACATGTTTGGGCACTAGCTTCAAATTTTTATATTCAAGAGAAGAAAATGAGAAGCTTTTCTATTATATTTTATTAATTAAATATGTTACAGACAGCAATGCTTATTATGCTAATCAGTTTTATTATTTTATACTGATGTTGTTTTCCTATGTATTTTTACCACATACCTGTTTGCATGTACATAAATATGAGATTTAATAAAGATAAAAGGGGTTGCAGATTGTAAAAATATCCTTTTTTTATCTAATCAAATAGCTAAAACACAGAACGCTACTAAGACTCACAAGGCACATAGGACAGCATTCCATGTATTCCTCTGAACTAATGAAATTAAATCATCTTTCTAAATGCAGTTAGAAAAAAAAAGAATACGATCAAATTGGATGGATGAGAGGCGAAACTCCTGATAATACTGCTTTCCCTGGAACTCGGAGACACAAATGACCAGATTTCAAGTGACTGGGTTTCTTTTAAAGCCTAAATCAGCCCATACGAGAGTAAGGAAAAATAGCCAGAAGTTTTTAACTGTGTGTTGAGGCACTGGGGAAAGATTTTCCCATCATTCTCTCCAAAACTGCTCTGTATGAACGAAAAAAATCATGTCACCCGATCCCTCTTTGAGAGCTCTCTTATAGCATTCATAGTTTATTCTCCAAAGTTAATGTGAAAATTCCTTCCTCAAATAAAAACTTTGAAATGGGGTTGCAGATCTGATTAATCTGGGCTGTCTTTATTTTTTTAAGTCATATGTGGAGAGCCAGGTCTTATATTTCCACTTTAAAGGCACCAGGTAGACACTGAGTCTTGCCTAGGCACTGGCTGGATGACTTTGGGCCTGTCATGTCTCTCAGCCCATATTACCTCTCAGGTCTTGTTGTGTGGGAAAAATGTGGGAAGGAAGAAGATATGTTAGATATGTTGAATTATTTATAAAAAATAATAGATGGGTTATAAATAACATGAAGTGGAACCATAGGCAAATTAAGCTTAAAAAAATTATAACCTATTTGGAGGGGGGGGATTTCTAACCATAAGAAGTAAAATTTTATTAACCTGAAAAAACTTCGCAAAAATAAAAAGCCTATCTAAAATTTGGCACATCTACTACCTAATATTAGCAGTATAAACTGGAACCTGCAAAAATACAACTAGGGGGCTACAAAAAAATGTAAGGAGATGGCCAAGCAATCATTTTTATGATGTAATGGGAAAAGAAGAACAGTGAAACAGGCAAAGAGATTATCATATTCACCTCTCTTATTCTCTTGATGTGAATGTAGTTGGAACGGCCCCAGTCCACTTCATTCTGGAGAGGGAAACAAAAGAGTTAAAAATAACTAAAATTGTAAACTGAAGTTGAAAAAGCAACTTGCATAATCTCAACTGTTTTTGTTTCTGTGCCATGCCCTATTTTAAGCCTACCAAGGTTTTGTTCCTGTAATCATTAGCAGCCTGCCAGAACTATTCAGGCAGTTGAGCAAAGAGCAAACAATGAAGAATTTTTACTCTAGATACAGGTTCTTCCCTACCCACAGATTATGGTCATGTGAGAACACAAACTTCCATGCTTGTAACGTGCAAGCACTCGATTTTTTAGTTGCAGGATATTTTATATGTGTAACCAGGATTCCAGAGGCAGGCTAAGTTGTGGTGTCAGACTCCCTTTAACTTCCAGTTAAATTCTTCTCTATACTACAAGCATTTCAGAAGGTGGGTCAAATCCAAGCGGGAGAAATCCCCAGCTCTCTACAATAATTACTGCTTAAATACACAAAATCTTAGAGAAATCTAGCAACTCAAATTCATGAATATGCAGAGTGGAATCAGTGCATCAGTACCCCAAAATAGTTTGGCAGCTTAGAAAAGTTAGAAAAGCTTACCAACCATCTAATGGATTAAGACAGGACAGAAATATTCTAATAAACAAACATTTTACGTGCTCCCATCTGATTAGCTGCTTTCTTTAAAACAAACATCCAAGGTAATATTCTGAATGGCAGAGTTATACCAATCTGTTCAAATACCAAAGTGCTGGATGAGAAACAATCTTGTCAATATACACCAGCTGCAAGAAAACTTTCTACATACAGCTGTTAGGATAAATGGTCTATTTGAATATCAAGACTCATTTATGAGACACAGATTTGTGCACACTAATCTCTTCTCCTACAATTGGATGGGTTTCCCTCAGTTTCTCCTAAGTTCTAAATTTAGGACATTAATCCAACATCTTCAAAGATCAAATCAGCAATATTGAAAGATGCAGAAGGGGAACATCCATCCCATCACAGTGTATGGAACATTTGATCAAGTAAATATCCAAGTTAACAAACAGATTACCAACGGAACTAACCTTTGGATGCCTAAGCTTTCCTTTTTTCCTGTTTTCTTGCCATTCCTAACAACAAAAGAAGTCATAATGTAATTTGTAATTGACCTTCATACAGCATATTCCATGCACATTGATCCAAAATCCAATAGCCAAATAGCTTTGATTTTTATTACATGGAAAATATTTTTGCCCTTTAATTTAAAATTTTAAGGACAATTTGCAATAGCTCATTTAATAGTAGTAATCACTAATGGAAACGAAAAATAAATAAATGCAGGTAGTAACATAAAGAAATCCCCAATTATGCCAGTAACATAAGATATAAAAGCAGGAACAAGGAAGATTAGTTACCTTAAATGCATTAATAATCGCAATACAATCACTACTGCTGTTCCCAGAAAATTGTAGCTTGTTCCTGCAGAGCAAGAAGAGGTCTAAAATACATGTATTATTTTATATATTTTATACTATTTCTTTCTGTTTTGGCCAACCCTTTTATTCCATGAATTAAAAAAATATGTATGTAGCAAAACATATTTTATTTCTAAAATTATTTGCAGTTATATGAACAAGGAAAAAAGTCAAGTCAATTTACACATAGTCTTCAGAAGCAGCGTAAACAAAAAGTCTGCAAAGTATTTGGATCTGATGTGAAGGGCTTAAGAACATGCAGGAACAAGAACCAGCACCTGTCTGAGATCATGGAAACTGATGTGAACGCTTTAAAGAGTAGAAGTCCTATTTCCATACATTTCAACATACTTTTACTAAACTGAATCGGAAGCACTGCACAGTCCTAGATACATTATATCAAGGGTTTATATTGTGAAGCTCCCAAGGCCTAATATGAATCTACTTATAACTAAGCTTAGATACATGCAGCTGTTACAACTGCATAATGCTCCTTTGATTATCCTTATTTATTTGTATCCCATCTTTATTACTTTTACAAATAATTCATATGTATTGAACATAATCCATCTTCCTCCTATTTTCTCCAAAATAACAACGCTGTGAGGGAAGCTGGGCTAAGCGAGAGAGAGACTGGCCCAAAGTCACCCAGCTGGCTTTCATGGCTAAGGCAGGACTAGAACTCACAATCTCTGGCTTTCTAACCTGGTGTCTTAAGCACTAGACCAAACTGGCTCCCTTCTGAAGAAAAAAGTGGGGTATAAACTTGCCTTCCACTTTTGGGTTGCTTTCCTTTAGTGAATTTTAAGATATTTAGAACGTTGGAGCAAATTTCTTGAAAAATAATAGTATATATACACAAATATAAAAAAATGAAGGATCAAATTTCAATAAATCAGATGGTGGCTTTAGGGAAAATACCTATATCCATCAAGATGTTGCTTGAAAGGTATTATAAAGAAACTGTTCAAAGAGAGGGCTGCAGCTGTAACAAAGAGAGAAAAAATAGCATTTGCTAAAAATTGTATTTGCCCTTTTAATCACAAAAAGGCAGCAGATTCAAGTTTTATTTCCATGTACAAAACTTATATAATCTAATTATCAGTTGCAGGGTACTAATGGTGTATTTATATATGTATCCATTCCTCATTACATAAGTATCTTCCTTCCAGCATCATTGATTTTAACAAATTTATTTCATCAATTTCAGTACATTATTTTTAGGTGGCTCTTTGGCCATAGTCATGCGCATTTCTAAGTTTAAAGATCTGCCTCATTCTTACTTTTCTACTATGAACAGCTTGTAAGATATTACTAATCTAAGTTGAGAAAAATAGTATTTATACTCACCTATTATAAGTGTTTCTTCCAGGCATCCAAAGACATGTCCAAGAACTATTAGTTTGCCTAGGTGATGATTCACAGGTAACTGTGCCAGCACTTTTCCCAGAAAGGTCAACTCACCATCGTAAGGATTTCTTTCTTCAAAATGATCATTAATAGCAAGTGCCCCTAACTATTTCAAAACAAAAGCAATAATAATATTAATAGGAGACACAATCATGACTTTTAAGACTAATTTTTAGTATAAGCCAAAATGGCACTTGTAAAAAGCTTGGTAGCAAATGAAGTCAGGCTAGCACAATTTGTAGCCCATAGGGCAGGTACTGTATATATGACTAATAACAAACAGTAGACTTTTTTGTGATGCATGTGGTCTCATTCCCTGATTTCATTTTTAATTATACACCTCCCAAAACTGAATTCTGAGAATTAGTTATCCATGCTCAGCAGGTAGAACCATACTGGTTAGGTTGATTTACAGTGACATAACATATACAAATTACAAATATTACAGATTATTTAACTTTCCATCCTCCTATTAAGCAAACAGATGTCTTGGTTTTTCAAAAAACAAAAGGCATACTTAAAAAGAATTATAAAACACCCACCTCTTTAAGGTGCAGAATTGTGCGTTCAATATCACTGCTAACAGGAGGCGAGAGAGCGGTTGCTAACAGAGCTCTTGGTTCTCCCATGTCAAGCATCTTCACTTTCAGTACAGTAGTTTCCAATGGGCAACGCTAAAAGGATAAATAAAAGTCCTGTGTTTGACACTCTCCAATTCTGCAAGGATATTCTTGAGGGTTTTTTTTAACAGTAGTAGCTGGTAAAGCTAGTTGCTTTTATGCTATGCGCAACCTATAGGTAACATAACAACAGAATAACAGAATTGGAAGGGACCTTGGAAGTCTTCCAGCCTAACTGCCTGCCATGTAGACACAATGTCATATTTTTTACTCAACAAGAAATACTATCTTTTTCTAAAAGTGAATGTGAAAACTCTGAGAAGCATATGGGGGAGTTCAGCTGGTGTGAAAGAGGAAGCACAGATATTTAGAGCGGTCTAAGAAAATGTTTCAAGGAGACACTTAGTTGATTTGGGGTAAGGCTACCTGGAAACTTAAAGTTTACAGTTTGCAAAATTTACAGGTTAGGTGTTAATACTCATGAGTAGTATTGAGCTGAGCAGCAAGTTGGAAGCCATGTAACTGGCAATGCAAGAGGTGAGATTGATACAACATTCTCTGGTTTTTTGCTCACTTCCTTGCTACTATATACAGAAAGTTTGGGCCAAAATCTCAGTCCCCCAACTGTTTGTTCCAACAGTATGTGGCTTTCCTCTTGCTGCTCAGATCCAAATGGACAACCACAACTATCCAAGCCCACACAAGAAAACAATCAAGAGAAAAATGCCACTTGTAAAAAGAATGGATTTTCTGACTCTACAAATGAACACTAAAGCAAAAGATCATGCAGCCAAATGAAATCCCAAAACATTGGGAGCAGCACTTGAACACCAACAGCATTTACAAAATCATCACCAGTCAATTGCAAAAGGCAGCTTTTTTTTTGGAACAGCTTGCATCCTGCAAAAACAGCTCCTCCAAGTTACTTAACAATCTGTCCTTGAAATTACAACACACACCCAGTCACATTGTCACACTTCAGGCACTTGTTAACTGGCTCACATTTATTTAGTTATTTGTTAAATTTATTTGCCACCTATCTCACCATGGGGCTATTCTAGGCACCTTGCTCTAGGCGGATTTATGACTAGTTGCAGTGTCCCATGGTCAAAAGAACATAATTTGCAACACTTTTTAGCTGGATTCTTGTGGGGGGGGAATTAACTTAGGAGAATAGATTTGTTTAATGATTACATGATTCGCTGAAAGGTCATGATGATTTGCTTTATGACCATTGTAAAAATTGTTATACGATTGAGTCAGATCATGTGGTGCAGAGGTGGTATTCAACAGGTTCTGACTAGTTCTGGAGAACCAGTAGCGGAAATTCTGAATAGTGCTGAGAACTGGCAAATACTACCTCTGACTGGAGATCTTACAGTATCCTTCCCCTGCCACACCCACCAAGCCACGCCCACAGAACTGGTAGTAAAAATATTTAAATCCCACCGAGTGGTGCCACACTTACTGAATATAATGACAGAAATTCTGAGTTCAATTGTGATTAAAAGAGGATTAGATTATGGCATCTTGGATTTTATATTGTTGTGTACATAATAATAATAAATTAAGTTTGTATGCTGTCTAATAACTGGATGACAGAGTGGCATGAGATATCTTTGAAGTACTATCTAAAAAAAATTTGAATTTTTTTTTTGAAAGATACATAGAGACACATACCTTTTTTCAGTCAATTTGTTATAAGTGAATTGTAAAAAAAGAATCAAGCAACAGCCAGAAAAAATATTTTTCTTTCTGAGTTGTCTATTGAATGTACCAGATTTAGGTAACAATTGTTTGCTGATGGCTTAATTATAGCTAAATACTTATTGATTGTTCCTAAGAATGTCAGAATCTAAAACCGTCCTTCCATCATCCTTTGACATTTTATCAGTGAGTTCTCATCACTTCCTGCCATTGTTCTTAAACATAATGGCTATTTTTTGGTGGTCAGCAGAAATATAACTGGTCTTCCCACTCTAAAGTCATGCAAATGGGTGTGTGTTATTCTTACCATCATCTCAGGAACAGTGCTTTTCGGTATACAGTTTGCCCAGAAGTCTTTGTATACTAGTCTGTAGCAGTATCCTTTGGACACACGACCAGCTCGACCTTTACATTAAAGAAAAATCTTCAGCACTTACAATTCAAAAGCTGAAATACCACTTACACTTATTAATGGCAGCAGGGACTAGTATTGACACACACTGGTTGCCTGTTCACAATCAAAGCATCAATATCTCAGTACAGGAATTATCTAAAGATTATTTCAGCCTAGTGCTGTGATGGTGAACCTATGGCACGTGTGCCGGAAGTGGCACACAGAATCATTTCTGCTGGCACGTGAGCCGTCATCTGGAACAGATCTACTGCGCATGCGTACATGCCTCCCGCCAGCCAGCTGATTGTCGGATATCTAGCACGCATGCGCGAGGGTTGGGGTATGCATGGGAGATGCATGCGCAGGGGGCGGGGCGCATGTGGGTGTTACGTGCAAAGACGCACGGTGCACAGGGGTCACGCGCACATGTGCAGAGGTGCGTGGTGCATACAGGGGGGGTTACACATGCATGTGCAGGGGAGTCGCACGTGCATTGCATTATGGGTGCAAGCATGAGCACATATGCGTGCACACACTTTCAGCACGCAACAACAAAAAGGTTAGCCATTACTGGCCTAGTGCAATTATGGAGAACCTCTTAGCTTCAGGGTTCTCAAAAATTAGGAAATTGCCTAATTTGACTATGCCTGTATGTCATTAGCAAAACATTCCACAATGCAACAATGCAACTGTGAGATAATGATTTAAGATATATTGTTACAAGGGACACCTTTTTAAAATTTAATATAAGATAATTCTAATTAACATATTTTATAAATACCATTGCTCTTAATCATAAAATCTCTGCACTGCAAATGTAGAATTATAGAATCATTGAGTTGGAAGGGATCTTAAAGCTGTTTTTCTAGTCTAGATCCTGGCCAGTGAATGAATCCTCACACCATCCTTGACAAATGGCTGTCCAACCTCTTCCCGGAATAAAACACCCATGATTTCAGGGGGCAAGCTGTTCCATTGCTTAACAGCTTTCACTGACAGTTGTCTGAAGTGGAATAATATTACAATTGTACCAATCTTGGATAAAGATGTAATGATAGGGAAGGAACTTCCCCCCTCAATCCACCACATGCACACGTACATACAGTGAAGTTAATTTGCTCTGTCATTAAAACTGGCATGGCCATCTAACCATCACTGCTTTTATTTCTGAAATATGTATGTGGTTACTTAAACCAGTGGTCCCCAATCTCTTTCACACCAGGGACTGGTTTTTGGAAAAGACCGTTTTTCCACGGACCAAGAAGGGTGGAGGAGGATGTATTGTGTGCTACCTAGATCCTGCTCATTTACAGATGAAGCTTCACTTGCTTCTATATCCTGGTTCCACAGCCCGGGGATCTGAGCCCCTAACTTAAAACAACCAGTAGGAAGAGCAAGCATGTATGTCTTAATTCAAACAGATAATTGCAGATTAAGTTAATACTTTTACTGCACATATGTAAGACAGACTTCACACATAAAATGTTTTCAGGATTAGGGTCTCCAAAAGACCTGGAATTTTATACAAGAAAATCCCCTTACCCATCCTCTGATCACAGCTGTTCTTAGATGCCCAACAAAGTCTCAAACTCTGATAGTTGGTATCTTCATCACAAACGAGATTTCTACTCAAGCAAAAATCAATGACTGTACAATAAAAGCAAAAGATAAAAATAAGTAGAAAATAGTTTAGAACATTCTGAAGTACTTTAAAGAGAAATTAGATTCAGTTCCATCTTGTGGGAACAAAACTTTTTTACGCAACCTGAGGTAACATAGTTCATGGTTCTCCCAACTCAGTTAAATGAAGGAGTGGAATCCTGAAATAACAGCATGGGATTATGAAGTAGCTATGGGGATAGGACAAATACTATCCTATTGTAGAATCTTTTCCTGCTAGAGTTACATTGCTTTTCTGGAAGCAGATAAATTAAGATAATGGTTTTAATTATATTACAATGTTATCTAAAATCCCTGGTGGCTTTCTGTAATTTAACTCAGGAGTATCTCTTGAATTGAGCAAGACTGTTTTTTAACTTTAATTAGAAGATTCCTTCCAATGACTTCTCTCCATTTAATACTTTTCCAAGTTTTATTTTTAGAAAGCAAAACCAATGATGAAAATGCACATAAAGGAAGCAGAAACCAAATGAGATACAAGTTAATGTTCTCACTATCCTGTTCCTGAGAGTACAGAGGAAAAAGGTAGAAGAAACTCTCTCATAAAGAAGATATAACATTGCCAGAGATACAGTAGCTTTTTATTTCCACTCAATATTCTCTACAATATACTTTAAGTGAACAAAATAAGAGTAAAAGCACTACTCTGCCAGTAAGTGCAGAATATACATTGAATCTCCTGCTCAATATATATTCAAGGAAGGAAGGAAGGAAGGAAGGAAGGAAGGAAGGAAGGAAGGAAGGAAGGAAGGAAGGAAGGAAGGAAGGAAG